TTATGATTCATCATAAGCAGAACATGCTCCTTGCCAGCATATTTCTTCTCATCCTCGGCATCCATATACACTCGCAACTTACAGCCCGCATACCAATCGGCCATGAAAACAAGCTCTGTGAATCATTCGGAAGTATTTTATATTACATTCTATATATGTATATTGAAATCTTTTTACTTACGGCTGTATAAGGAGTAGCAAAGATAGTACATTAATTTACGGAAGAGACGTTTATTGAAGGGCTTTAGGCAGATGTGGAGCAAAAGTTGCAGAAAATTGACGGACAGGCCGCTGGTGAAGAAGGTTATCGCGATACATAGATGGATCAGTCTCAACTTTTTTAGCTCCTGTAACGTAATCATGACTACGCCGTATATACAATGTGCTATAAAAAGAAACAGTAGGTAGAGAAAAATCGTAAACGTTAAAACGCCAATTTTGTATAGATATGTCTCTAGTCCGACTAGCAACTAGCAAATTTACGTAATATGTATGTATGTGTAGAGCTCTCGCCGTAAACTTATTAGCCAACTTTTTTGTAGTTTATGGCCAGCTACTCACTTTGAACTGTGAAACGAATCTGACCAAAGTTTCAATCAATTAGCCAGCTAGCTATTAACAGTAGCTGACTTTAGATAAGGAATATAACTTTACAAATAGATTGTGTTGCCCCTAGATATAGTGCACTATAAATGTCTTTATCGAAACAATCCGAAGGCTGATAGAGCCAGCAGACGGAGGAAGGGTGGGCGGGGTGGAGGTCAGATAAGATTAACAGCAAATGCAATTCGTATAGAATATGGATGTATTCATGAACAAAGTCCGTGCAATCGTTAATTCTCGCAAAGTCACCAATGCGTCTCTGTACGCATTTTGTAACTTCACACTGATTTACATAAATTACGTATGAAAGATACTTTTTCTGTACGGCTAACAAAATGTGAGCGCGCGCGCGTTTATGTATGCATATCGATATATACATATATAGATTATATATATAAATTGTATGAATGTTTGTGTTTGTGTTGTGCGCGTATGACTGTCAGCGTATGCATGTGTGCGTTTGTTTTTGCATGCTCCAATAACCATTAGAAACACTTTTGTTGACAATTCAGTTCAATGATCTCATGTAACTAATATGTTATTCATGCATACGTAAATATATGTATTTAGTTTATATTGATGTAGCCTATATACGCATGTATACAAAGTATGACGATTCACAATCAATTGATCAATCTATAGTGGCGCGACACCAATTGACTTTTTATGCACCATCAAAACATATCTATTTGTATAGCTCACGTTTGTAGTATGCGCGCACTTTACCTTTTGGCAACGTTTATTGTGCGTTTGTTGATTTTGTATTTATTTATTTATATATAGTTGTTTTCGTGTTACTGAGCGCTGAACGGCAATCGATGTACTTTTCGCGCACGCCAACAGCAGCGCCTATCGATTGAATGCAGTTAACAAACAATTGTTAGTGCCGCCCTGGTTTATGCCTATTGTGTAGAACAGCTCTTCTGGCGATTGGCGCCAAAATTTAAAAAGCATTATGATTATAAACACAAATTGTTTATTTCTGGTTCTGATATTGTTATTTATTTTTGTTGTTGCTAAAGCTCTCAAAAGCGGTAAATATTTATTGGTAGACAAAGCTGATAAAAATTACTACTAGAAAACATCATGGGCAATGCCATCCAAATATTTTATACTTCTTTTCGTCGCCTTCGAACTATTCTAAAAACTTATAAATTTTATCTAATCAGCTTGACTCATTGACTGCAGTTATTTAATAAACGAACATGTCGATAAGCAGTCCATGCTAAAGTTCACACTTGTATATTTATGTACATATCTATATACATATATTGATATATTCTATTTAACGAACATGTTTACTTTTCAATTCTTTATTTAACTTATTATCAAATCGTTTATAAAAATCGTTAACAAGAAATATACATATAAATGCATGTACATAGTGCCTAAATCCCCGTTTAAAAGAACCCGGTTAAAACTTAATTGGTTTTCGCTTTGCTATCGGAGACGCCATAGTCGGATCCTTTGCTGACCTGCGTAACGTTGTCTGCTTTTCTCAGCAACACCAAAACTGAAAGAATTAAAAAAAAAAAAAAACATTTTTATAAATATGAAATTTGAAAGCAATGCAGCACACTCACATAGCACGACTAGAGCTACTACAAAGATGACGCCACCCAAGTTGGCACGCAGCAATGATACGATCAGATAATATATGAGGGAGCCAATTGAAGAGATGCCTATGATGCTGAAGACAAGCAGACTGATGGGGCGTGGCTCGAAGACGGTGCAGGGCATTTCCTTGATGCCCGACGTCTTGAAGAAGCTGCCCGACTCGTGAAAGCTCTCGATTATACGATCCTTTTCCACATAGAGATTATGCAGCCAGGCAGCGGCCTCCTTCTCGTCCGTTGGGATTTTCTCCGTGGGGAACCGTCGGACAAGGATGTACGGATTCAGTGTCTCACCAGTCAAGACCGAATTTAGATTTACAGGCACGTCTGAGTCCGCTTTGAATGCCACATTCATGTCGTAGATGGCCGGGCAGATGCTACGCAATGTGGGCAAGCTGGTGGTGAATCCTCTCGTGCGTGGTATCAAATGATACTTGAGTGGCGTCAAGCCCTTCTCCTTGGCAAATTTCAGGGCGACCTCGTGCTTGGCGGGTGTGAAGCGTGTGCCCTCCGCTGTGAGAAGCAACCAAACAGGTTCCGGATAGGAATAGATGATTTTTAGCTGTTTGGCAATAATCGCCTTATCCTTCTCAAAATCACGATTGAGGAACACAAACTCCGCCATCCACCAGGCCCAACCGAGCACTGGCAAATACCGAATTGGCTTCTTGGCAAATGCTTTCGATGTGCCCAACATTTTCAGTTTATCGAGGAGCATCCAGAGCACAAGCCAATCAATTTCGTAGTAGTGATTCATTAAGACTACGCCATGCTCCTTGCCAGCATACTTCAAGTCCTCGCTGTCCATATAGAGGTGCAATCTACCGCCTCCATACCATTCCGCAAGGACGACCATCTCTGAAAAAGAGTCAGTACACTTTTAAGTGATGAATCTATATAATCTATGGACCTTACTTACGTGAGTAGAATGCATACAGGGGATAGTATATTAACCTTCTGTATAGACTCGGGCTAAAGGGCTTGATGAATAACATTAGCAGACATTGTACGATATTACAACCGAATCCACAGGAGAAGAATGTGATCGCAATTATCAAACGTGCGACCGTACTCCTCTTCAGAGCCTTTACCGAAGCCATGTTGGAACCTAGAGATAAAAAATGTTCGAAAAGTTTAGACATATTTGTATAAAAATTATATTATATTTTTAAATTATATTTCCAACTTGCTTAAAAGTATATTATATTTTTAAAATTTTAATTAGTATAGATTGATAATTATTAGACAATTTCGAGCTTCCGCGGAGATAATAATTCTGAGCTGATCATTTCATATGACAAAAAAAAAATTTTAGTTCGCATGACAAACAATTTTAAATCCAGCGATTCCTTTATAATGATTCTGTTCTGCTCCTTTTTCCAATTGTGCAAACTTTACTTGGTTAACTCCAATAGCTCTAAGGAATCACTTCAATTGGAAATAATTTACAAAATCCTTTAATTGCTTAGGGAACTAGTTCACTTGGATATCATCTTCTATAGCAGGACTGCGCTATATGTATTCAAATATAATATCACATAACATTATCGCTTCACCCTGACGACCTTTACGTAACTGAACATGCATATAACTGTACTAACTAAACATTTATATCAATTATCACATATATGCACATAAACTCATAAACTTCGATCAAGATAATGTTTTCCCATATGCAAGATCACCGTTTCAATTATCATTAGCAAATGAGACACACTCACCCGAACTAAATAGATTTGGTAGCTGAAGAGAGACAAACGAGCTCCTTTCTTACACAGCCAGCTGCTGTGCTCAACTAAATGCCGAAATGTGTTTAACTGTTTCTTCCAGTTGTAATTCCATTGACTGTGCGCTGATATTGGTGATTAACAAACTAATCACCCTTTACCGTTATCAATGGAAAGAGAGAACAAATGTCGCACTTGTCGCTGGCGTTGCCGCGTCGCTGTTGTTGTTCGATGGGTAGTATGGCCAAGATAGAGGAAATGAAACGCGCACTTCCATATATTTATACATATGCATATGTGTGTGTGCGTGTGTGAGAATATTTTTATGACCCGGCAAGGTGGCCATAGTTCATTCGAACGAATTTTACTCATTACACGCTATTAATATCGGTATCAGACCCACACAATCACCTGCAGTCACTTGTTTAATGTTATAAATGTGTGTATGTGTGCGTATTCTCTATATTACTTGATGTGCGACAAATGACTAGTTCAAAACCTTATTCAAATGTTAATGATCATTTCGTGTTAGCGGCATTTATTAAAAAATGAGACCTAGTGATATTGCTTTGCTTTTGCTTTTAGCTTTGCGCTGGAAAACAATTCTAAAAATAATACGAAGATGTGAATGTTCTTAAGGCATTATGTGCGAGTTGTTATTTAAATACTAGAGCTTTGATAGCACATGCATATCGGTGTGTCGGAAGCGTTGCGCAATGTCGATAAGCTTTCAGATCCGATATATAATCGATAAATTGCTAATTTATGAACAAATAAATACTCCTCAAGCAAAGTGTTCAATCTGTTATAATGTAAAGCTATCTGCATATTGCATTAATTCCAATTTATTCATTTTTACCAATTATTGCACAAATTTGGCCATAGCCTTTTGAAAATTAGGAGTAAGTCTCTAAAATACTTTTGTTTACTTGATTTAAATTTTTTCAGCGAACAACGGCAGCGAGGGCTGTTATTTAACATACTCAACAGCTGTTAATGGTTTTGTGTCTGTTAACGCAATATTGTCAATAACAGCAAAAACATTTCTTCTTCTTTTTAATGTCATTCTCCACTGTTCAGACACGAATAAAAGCCGTCGTCGCCGCAAATTTTTTGCAATGCTAGAAAATAATTAAAAAATTAAAAGTACTATTCCAATTGTCAAAAGGTGGAGTGCGTGCAGTCAGAGAAGCATAATTTTGCCTCTAGGTCAAACGTACAGTAAGCGTTTGCGAACGACAACAAGGGACACAGAAATTCTGCCGGCAGACGCAGACGCTTTCTTTCCTGCAAGAGCGAAAAAAAAAAAAATAAAAAATTGTGCAGCGTGTAAGTATGGCAAACATACATAATCGTTTGATCCGACTACATGTATTACAGATTACAGTTAATTGTGAGTGTGTGCTAATCTGTTTTGAGCCATGTCGAGCTTGGAAATTTACGACTCGTCCAATTCGCAACTGAGCAGTGATGAATATAGTCACGACGAAGACGATGATGGATTAATGGATATGGCTGTGAGCAAACAACAATCGCAACCCGCCAAGTCGGCCAACAAATCGAACGACACTTCGCCGACCAAAACAGACAGCACCGCCTCCACCACGCCACGTAAACTGTCTGAGGACTTGGATGCCATTGCCGTCGCCAGAAAGCCGCCAGCTAGTCGAGAGCACACACAGCGTCAAATCAAGCAAATGCAGCGGGATAATCGGGCTAATTTGTATTTCAAGCGGCGCAGCATAAAATGGTATGTAGAAGTCATCTGGTTACATCTATATTTTATAAATTTCCAGATCCGCCTAGAGTTTTTTTTATTGAAAGTACAACTTTTCATGCTCATGCAACTGCTAGTCGCTCATTGAACTTATGAACCAACTTATTATGTCTGTCTGTTCCAGCTTTCACTCTTTAAGTTTTACGAGAAATCTCATATCTCGAAGCATGAGTTTCTTCTCCGTGCATTAATGTAGCTGAATTATTTTTCATCTTCCCCCTTCTACTGAGGATATGAGCGAACTCTATAGGTCTGCCACTGAGAGTGTCAAAGTGACAGGAATAACAGAATATGCTAGTCTAAGCCGCAAATATTAATTGTCAATAGGCTCATCTCTATTCCATCTGTCACTCTTAAAATGAGGCAATTGTCAGTTTCAGTGTTATCTAGCACTACTTCATGCACATCTGTCACAGCATTTTTAGAAGCAAGAAATTAGCAGTCCTTCAAAAGTCATTAAAATTTCAATCAGCAGCAAATCGCCTCAAAGCAATAAAGAAATCCATATATTAAAAAAGTGGGAGAGTCTATATAAATTTCTTATTAAGTGAAATTTCGATTTCTTAAATATCTTTTGATAAACTAACCTCTAACGTTTCTCCATTAATAGGTTGAATCAACGCTTGAACAATAAAACTGACTACATGAGTCAGTTGAAGCGGGCGTTGCCCAAGCATCAGGCGCAGGCCAAGCGCATGGCCGATTACCGTGCAGCCAAGCAAGCCATCGAACGGGAGCAGCAAGAGCGCCAATTGCACCAGAAGCAGCTGCAACAGCAGCAGCGTAGAGAACGCACTCCTAGTCGCAGTCGCAGTCGCAGTCGTACAGGCAGCCTGTCGCCGGAGCTGATATGCCTGGATGATGATGACACTCCAGAGAAACCCAACGATATTCCAGCTGTAAACTTGCACCAGCAGCAGCAGCAGCAGAAAATCGACTGCAAGGACACCACCGCCGCCGTTTGCCTTACAGCTGGAAATCAAATCAGAAGCAGAGGCTACTCCTGCTGAAAACGGTTCCGTGCTGGATGAGTTCCTTTCCATGAAACCAAGCATAGCAGCTGAGCCTGTCATCGAAGCAGCAGCAGGTTGTAATAACAGCGAACAGCAGCCGCCGCTGCAAGAGTTGCAGGAGTTGGTTGTACCAGCTGCAAAGGCCGAAGTTAGCTTGGACATGGTTGTGCAGGAGGCCACACTAAAACGTCGTCGCTCACCTACACCACCGACGGCTGTGGATCCACATGCTGAGAAGCGCACCAAATCTTTGACAACTGTAGATTTGGATGATGAAATTATAGAACTAACACCTTATGCAGAGCCTGCAAAGCAGCCAATACCAACACCAACACCAACCCCGATAGCAACACCACTAACACTACAACAAGCTATGCCAGCACCACCGACGACTCCGCAGCATAAGCCAGTCATTAGATCCAATGCTGACCCCTTGAACGTATTCAAAGTAGGCTCACCCTATTCTCTGTCTCCGTCTAGTGGTATGGAATACTATGTTCAGAAGAAGGTGCTCTGCCAGCAGCATCTGGAGCAAACACAGCCAGAGAATCTGGCTGCGGTGTCGCTTAGCCTGGAGACACCTTCGCCGTCCATTGAACCGATGAACATAGCCTATCCTAATCAAAAGCAACTGGATGTGCCGAATATACAAACAACGACAAACGTCACAGTAGGTCAAGCTGTAGTCGACTATAACTCTTTTGGTACGCCCTACACAGCTCAGCAGCCGGCTGCGCAGGTACTGCAACAGCCTCCGCAGGTACTGCAGCAGCCTCCACAGGCACAGCAGCTGCCTCCACAGTCGCAACAACAGCTGCTACAGCAGCCACAGCAGTTCCAGCAGCAACAGCAGGAGCAACAGGCTCCGCAGCAACAGCCCCGCAACAGCAACAGCAACAACAACAACCACCCACATCATCACCACGTACCAAGCAACGCGATGGTGAAAGTAAGCAAACGCAAACTAATCAGGCTACAGCCACTTCCAATAATTCACCAGTCGATCTGGACAATAGCAATAGCGATGCGGTCTTTCATCAGCGCATCAAGGATCTGTACACGGAGCTGGACGACATTATGTCGGATAAGGTGCGAGCTGTTAAACCAGAACTCAAGTCCTATGGCGAGGAGAAAATGCGCATTGAAGCGGATCTCAAGACGTTGGATAATTTGATAGCCCAGAAGGAAGAGGAACACAATCGTCTACTACATTTGCGCACCGTCAAGGAGGAGTTGCTGGCGCGCATCGAACGCAAGGAGCGCATACTTATATTGAAGGAGATTCTGCCCTCCATACTAAACAAGAATTGCAGCACCTCGGAGCTATACGAAATGCATACGCTGCTGATAAATGAACAAAACTCGCCAATGCCATCGAGATATGGCCGCAACTCAATGCAGCAGTTGATTGACAGAGTCGAAAATGGACTGGATGAGATAAAGATATTGCGCAGGTACATATATATGGGTTTATTGAACAATTTCTTGTTACTTATGAGAATTTTTATTTATAGTGTCTTGGCTATGCAGAGCAAGGCTCCTCGGGTGGCTGAGGTCCCCATGCCGCCACCTCCACCTCAACATTATGAGACGCCGTCGCTGCACAGACGTGACTCAGTGCCAGCTATGCGTTCATCCTTGCTAGCCAATCGCACATCAACCTTTGCCCGAGGAACTAGCATGCAGGAGAACGAACAGCTTCAGGAGCTGAGCAAGCGCAATAAGCCCCCTTCTCGGTAGAGTCAGCAGATATTGTTGTATATGAAGAAGTTGATTTAGTCCATTTACTTTGCAGTTATCAGCAGCTGATCAATGAGTCCAGACAGCTGACTGGTTCTACAGCCGATCTCGCTGCCACCTCCACATATCGCCAAAACGAATCCATAGACACTCTGCCACGCAGCCAGCTGGATAACAATCATATTGATGAGCTGCCCCTCAATCCGTTGTACAACAGCAGCCCACTGGCTGCTAGCCAGGGGCGCAAAAACAGCAATACAAATACACAAGTGGGTGCACTGAAGTCTCAAACAATCCCATATTATATCTATGCTAATTTTAGTTGAACGATCTACATTCCATGCACCGCGCGGGTATGCTGCAGAGTCTCGATTCGCTGGATCGTGCCGTGAACCAAACCAATCGCAATACCATAAACAATCATAGCAATCGCTTGAGCTCTTCTACGAATGGGCCGGACTTAGAAGCGGAGCGTCGTTGCCAATTCTGTCTACGCTATAAGGCCACCTACATGTGCGCCGCCTGCCAGAATCAATGGTACTGCAGTCGTGAGTGCCAGGTGAGCTAGGATGGTCTATATATATAACATTATATTTAACAATTTGAATTACTTTCAGGTGCGCGCCTGGGACACACATTGGGAGTCGTGCCCCAATTAGGATATACTCGCTGTATCAGCATTACTACTACAATTAAATACATACATACATATACATATGTGTATGTACATATATATATATGCATAGTAAACACCTAAATGCAAGCCCCCACTATTTCATACATTTATATCAAACACTCATTCGTAATCGTAAAGTTTCGCTATCGGAATTTATAATTGCAATGCATTAAAACTAAAAAACGTACACGTAATTAACACACACACACACACACACACATATTCCATTCATATTCAAGTGTCGACAATTACAATAGCTCAATATTCGCAAACACCATTAAAAAATTAAATAACAAAAATATATATAAACATGCTATACTCAGTGTTAAATTAGTTACTTATATTGATGTACTTCAAATCTGGCAGCTGTAACTGCAGTTGCCTGTTTCTTGATTGACTTTAGTTGATATGACCTGGCCGATCAGCTATATATACATACATACATATATATACGTATAAGTTGCACTCGCAAGCAATTTCATTAATTTTTATAATTTACTACGAACTGCTGGAAAATTTAAAAATCTTATTGAGGCTTTTAAAATTATTGAAAATTTTACGGAAATTTGGGCTTTCCATTCATAATAAAAGTTCATGCCATTTTCTATTGCATATTTTCGTGCACCTTCAATATATATGTATGCTTTATGTCGGCATTAAATAGGTTCTATTACTAACAGCAAATGTGTTTTTGGTATAAAATCGATTTTGTTTTCTTTTTAAGTTTTCACTGCTTGTTTTATTTTACCCATGTGCAACATCTAGTACTATATCATAGATCTTCCATAAAAGTCTATGGATTTGTGGATTAGTTTTAAACTTTATGGTAAATCGTATGAATTTTCAGCACACTAAATATAATTGTAATTTTCGGTTCTATATTTTATTTTCAAGGAATTACATATAGGATTTATAAAAAAAAAATTCTTTATAGATATTAATAATTTAAAAATAAAAAAACAATTTATTTATTTACTTCTTTCTTTTTCAATGTTCAACAGAGAACTAACAACAATTAGAAAATAGTCGCCAATTGGAATAGCCTTTATAGTTGCAATTAGCGGGCGTACACTGTAGACGTTGACCTACAAAAGTATACTACATAAAATGCATTTGATGTGCTTCATTTCAAAAATATACATTATTTAATTATAGTAATTAATGTAATTAAACTGTACATAGATCAGATTTGTCTATAGATGAATGATCTAAGCAATTATCATAATGCAAGAGCTTATGATGATGTCTATAGATAGAGCTATCTAACTGTGATGACTGAGGCGAGTGCTACGTCATTATAAAGATATGTATCCATAAGGCTTGTATGTCTGATAACTTGTGAGTGTTCTATCCAAAGAGCTTTTCTATCTATAATGTCAAATTGTCTACATTGATAGCAATGTCTTCTATATAACTATCTATATTGAGCTAGCTAACTTTCTGTATCCTATCCTCTAGGATGACAATTTATATAAACTATATATTCTGTACAGATAGTTCGTAAACTTGCATATATCCAAAATTAGTCAGCACAGGTGTTGCCTAACCTTGATACTTTACATAATGCGTACATAGCTTACGTAATAGATCTATTTATACAGGTGTTGTCTAACCTTGAAACAGCCCATAAGGCATATAGCAGACATGGATATACCCTAACATAGCCTAGGTAAACAATCTCCCCGCAGCTCCTTCTCCTACTTACTGTAGCCGCGCACCTGGCACACCAGCTGAATGTCGGCAATGTGCAGGTGCAGCGGCTGCCTGTTCGTCCAGCGGATGCGACGCAGCTTCCGGATGCGCAGCTGCCGCTTGCAGTGGAGCTTAAACTTCAGATTCGGACTCCAGATGCTGTCGCTGCCCCGTCGAGTGACGCACTTGAAGGCATATTGCCACCAGAGGCGGCTGTTCTGCTTTGTGCTATGCTGCAAATTGGGGGCAACGAAACGTAAAGCGAACAACAACGAACGAGAAAACAATTTCATTAGCTGTTATATTGGCATACGAATTGATATTCGTTTTTAATTCATTTTTGGCTTTATGAGCACTTACCATATAAACGGGCAATACGTAGAAGCGTTTGCACTCGCGCCGCCTAAAGTTGAATGCGATCGGATGCCGCTGCGTGGCCGACACCTTGGTCAGGTGCGAGCGTATGGCGCTCGAGTGGGTCGCCCGCTGGTGTTGCAGTCGGCCCTATTGTAGTTGTGTGTGTGTTGTTGTTGTTGTTGTGCATTTGGTTCGCCAAATCGGTTTGGTTATGGAATTACAAAATGGGAAACGGGACAGGCGCACACAGGTACGCGCCGCTAATTAATTCATATTCAACCTTTTTATATACATATATTTTTCAAACAATTGAACATATTTTCTAGCTAACAATATTTGAATACCCTCACAGAGCGTACAGTTGTATGGCTGATGAAAATGTAATGGGAGCTCAGGTAGACTTTATTGTTCTATGAGAACTCTGGGTTTTTTTATGGAGGCATGTTGATGGAATTTATGGGATAAATTATGCAAGAAGTCGTATTAATAGTTGAGGTAGTATATAAAAGAAGTAGATGAACATAAGATTGAATAGATGTATGGTTGCGTAAATGGTAGTTAAGAAAAAGTTCTAAAACAGAGAAGTAGTATGCCAGAATAATTATTGTAGTAGAAATAGTAGTATACCTAAAATGGTAGTATGTCAAAAAAGGAGTATACCAAAAAAAGGAGTATGTAAAAAAGTAGTACATCAGAGAAATAAAAGTAGTAGTAGAATAAAAGTATAGTAAAATCCGGTTATAACGACACTCAAGGAACCGTCGTTATAGCCGGAAGGCGCTATACCCGTGTAGATTTGCTCATAAAAGTTTGTCTGGGGACCAGAATAGACGCTATAACAAGAATCGTTATAACCGGATTTCACTCTAGATATAGGAAAATGTAGTACAGAAGAGAAGTTCGTCTATAAATGAAAGCAAGTATATCGGTAATATCGGCACTCACAAAAAAGATGTATATAAGAAAGGTTCCTATTAAAAGCAATGATAGTATTCATAGATATTTCGTATGTAGGAAAACTTATCAACTGGAGAACTGAAGATATAGCTAATACTATTTTTTGAGTAGAGATAGTATATCATTCTAGACTGACAATGACTCTACTTATTGACACCACTCAATAAAATGGGCTTTGCTCCATTCAGACTGTGACCATACATTGCTTTGATATACAAATCTATTTACGTTTTTTCAGCTGCCCAGTGCATGGAAAACTCATCCACTATAAACTGATATTAAATTTGACATTCCTTAAAGTCTGTTCTATGATATGTAATACCAAATTATTGTATTATTTCTATTACAGATCGAGAGAATTCGAAGCTGAAGAAATATGTTTCATATAAGAAATTAGTCATCGATCAGTCGATTATAATCAATAGCCTATCTATATATAATTAAGTCTATTGCATCTTCTACTTCTAGAGCGCTTATCAGTTCAGCCCATTCATGAGTAAGTGCATCTAATCTTCTGCTTCATCCACAATGTTTGAAGAATATTTATTGCTGCTAAATTTGGATTGCAAATTTGGATTCAAAAGCGAAATGCGCGAATATTTACAGCTGCTTGATAAGTGGGACTCCATTGAGATGGTGTTGGCTTATGATTGAATGCGGGTTCGGTTAGGTTCGGTTCGTCTCGGCTGCGGTCTCTAATTCTCTGACTTCAACTCGAAGCGTGAACCCGTAACCTTGGCCCTGAACTTGCTTATCAAGGCAGCGGTGATTAACTGTTTGCTATTGTTGTTGTTGTTGTTTACATAATTACTGTAAACAGAATTACAGTTGTAAAATAGTTGCTGTTAAACAAATGCAAACTGACAAGTCGCCGCTGCAGTCGAGAGCAATTAAATGCGCTTATCAGAAAACCGCGGCTCCAATTAGAACATGCCCCCTCTGATTGGACGTTGGCTGCGGCGAGTTTCTCAATCTGGGCTCGGCTGTTGGCTTTAGCTCGGGCTTTGGCTTTGGCTTTGGCTTTGAGTTTGGCTTTAGCTTTAGCTGTATTGGTAAACCGTTTTTACAAGCCGCTAACGCTCGAAAATTGTTGCTAATTAGTTGAAAACGCGCACGCCGGCGCACCAGACTTTAAAAGCGCCCACGATAAGCCGCCCCAAATGCTGGGCGTGGCTAGGTGCCAAGTGCGCGTGTGTTTCATTTTGGTTTTATTTTTTTTTTTTTGCTTTGGGTCCAATAAAATTTCATATATACATATAGATATATATATGGACATTTGAACCTCGTCATCAAAAGTCATTTGTGTGTCATGCAGGCTATCGGTAACGGATTGATATGATATAAAGATATGATAGGCGATAGACGAGAGGCGCAACTGGCAAACTGGTAGAAGAAACAAACAAACTGAGTTTAGTGGCAGCCACAGAAATTAGCTTAATAATAAATAATTAGCTGAAATTAGTTTAATGATATTTGTGTAAGCAGTTAGAAGCTCAAAGTTTTGGAACGGAAATTTGTGAATTTCTGAGAAACGTCTAGAGCATATAAATAGAAACACAAGGGAGGAATTGATCTGGTTTTGGAATGGAAATATTCATAGGGCTTCAATTTGCTATAAGAATTTTAACAGTCTTTAAAGAGCATGTTCTAATAGTATTGAGAGTCTAAAGGGGATTTCGAGTTTTTGCAACAAAGTGGTTTTAGAAATAGAGTGGGACAGAGGAAGTAAGAATTCGGAAGGGAGGGAAAAGTGAAAGTTGATGTGTCTCAGAGGACGTAGATGGGAAAGTCTTGGCTGGAGTGTGGGGAAAGTTTCAGAGAAAAAGGGCAGACAGAGAGAGAGAGAGCGGTACATAAACAGAATGATATAGCGAGAAAGAGAGAGAGGAGAGAGAGAGAGAGAGATAATTATATAGATGGGGAGCTTGCAAAAATGACTGTGGGATAGAATAAAAGATAGGCACAAAGAGAGAGACAGAGTTGGAGAGATATATATAGAGAGGGATAGATAGATAGTGAATCAAAAAGATTGACACAAAGAGAGAGAGAGATACAGAGAAAATATGTGTATTTGCCAGATTGCGAAAGAGAAACATTGAGATGAGGCAGATATTATTCATACCCAAAGTGTTCTAATGTATGTATGTATGTATATTCATTGCTGTAATATCCAACATACCGACATGCAAAGCATTCAAGAACAAAGAACAAATTCTCGAATTGAATCGCTTAAGAGAATAAACTCCATATGTTGTCCGACTAGATGGGGCAAGGTCATTGCTAAAGTTGGATAAATACTTAAACTCGAAAATATTG